GTGGATGGGATGTGGGAATTGGGGAGGGGGGAAGACCAGGCATCCCTGAAACCTCCATGCTCATGGAGCCAACATCTCCATGCTTACCCCTCTGCACCCCTCTGCACCCCTAGGCCTGGGCAAAGGCGAGTGGGCGGTATGAGGGGTGCCCCGAGGACCCAGCCAAGTGGAAGACCAACTTCCGCTGTGCCCTGAGGAGCACCCGCATGTTCATGCTGCTGGAGGACCGCTCCAAGTGTGGTGATGACCCGCACAAGGTCTTCGCCATCGCCCCAGGTGAGCCTGGCCCCATGGGGGCCTGTGTTGGGGTTGGGGCAGGTGAAACTAGAGTACCCCTGTCATGCCACTCTTCTTCCAGACGCCTTCTGGGAAGACCAACTTCCGCTGTGCCCTGAGGAGCACCCGCATGTTCATGCTGCTGGAGGACCGCTCCAAGTGTGGTGATGACCCGCACAAGGTCTTCGCCATCGCCCCAGGTGAGCCTGGCCCCATGGGGGCCTGTGTTGGGGTTGGGGCAGGTGAAACTAGAGTACCCCTGTCATGCCACTCTTCTTCCAGACGCCTTCTGGCATGGCGAGGAGGGAGATTTTGGCAGGCCCGACCCTTTTTTTTTGACCCTACGGTGGACCAGCAGCCGCTGTACCAGCAGCCACAGGTAACAGTGTGGGCATGGTGGACTGGGAGGGTTCGCCACTGCCACTGCTCAGCCATTGCTCCCCCGTGTCCATGGGGTGCTCCCAAACTGGAACCTAGCACCTGGCTGAAACGCAGGGCAGGGGGAAGCTGGGTGCCCCTCATACACAGCAGTAAGACCCGATCCCCCTTCCCTTCGCAGCTGGAGCTCGATCCCCAAGATGTAGCCCCAGAAATCATCCCCCCAGGTAGGCACTGGTCCCCCAGTTTTTTGGGGGAGCACCCTAGTAGGCTCAGCCAGGGCTGGTTTTCGGGTTGTGAGACATCCCACTTGCTGTGCCCCTCCGCCCCCAGACAGCACCGACCCCACACGGCCCCTGCCGCTGGAGGACATGGAGGTGCTGCAGTGGGTGCTGCAGCAGTGCGATATCTCCCCCCGCAACCTTGGCTCCCCGACCCCATCCTGGGTGCCTGCAGGTGAGACCGGCCTGCTCGCGGGGTGCGGGGTGGGTGACCTCAGCCCCTTCCCACTGGTGATTTCTCTTGCAGGGGATGCCCCCCACCAGGACCCCCTGCCCCAGCCTCACCCAGACACACCTGCCTCCCCCTGCCAGCATTTCAGCCATGGGTGCCTGTGGAGGAGCAACCCCCCTTGGGCGCCTACGGCCCCCCGGACTCCATGCTGCTGGAGGACGAAGGTGGGTGCTATGGGGCAAGATCCAGCCCCAGGCATGGGAAGGCCATAATGGGGTGGGAAGAGGCTGGGGTGCTGCTATGTGCACGCCATGCCAAAGCAGCCCCCACCCTCT